AAATACTGGGTTAGGTTAGTTTTCATTTACTTTGTGTCTGCTGCATTTCTCTGGTGTGTTCACATTCTACTAGGTCTGGCCTTCCAAAGTGCTATTCTCACTTTCAGAAGTTTATTTTGCTGTCATAATACTTCCTGGGATCTGTTTTCTCTGGAATCTTCCCCTATCCACTACTATCTGAACTTTCCTTTCCCCTTACCCACAGTGTTTCTGTCCTGTTCAATTTGATTTCTGAAACTAGCAGTTTTCTTTTTGTATGTGGGTTTGTTCTGTAGGAAACACTGTGCTGGATCGTTCTGAAATCCTCAAGGGTCTACTTCACCACAGCACTCTTTAATCTCTTGCTGATTCTGTGTAGTTTTTTTCCACTCACCGTAATTCAGAACCTCTGATGGCTTCTATGAATGTTTCAGTTGCTCTCAAATTTATTTTTCTAGTTCGATCAAGAAATGGTATCTCAGTTTATAGTGGTGGCAGTGAGGATGAAGAGAAGTGAACATTAAGAGAGATATCTTGGTGATACTATCAAGGAGAATTGCTTATGGACTAATGTAAAGTGAAGAGGTTCTCAAAAATGGTTTTTGGCTTGAGCAATTGGACAGTTTTACAGAAATGGAGGAAACTGGGAGGTGAAATGGTTGGTAATGGCAGAAGCAGGCACTCTATGTAGCTAGCTATATTGTTTGAGGTACCTATTAGATAGCCAAGTGGGTGTATCAAAGAAATGTCTTTGAGAGGAAAAGGTCTGCTTAGATGTCACTTCCTTTGGGAAGCCTTTCCTGAATGCCCACTTCCCATTCCATTAAGCTTGTTACCCTTCTATCCACAGCACCTTCAGCACTCCTATTGTAGCCTTTATCAAATTTATATTGCAATTTCCTATTTATTGGTCCATTTACTCTGTTGAATGTGAGCTGTTTGTGGAAGAGAACCTATGCTCTTCATTTTTTCCCTCAGGTTCCTTCCTGGCTCAATGCTGACAGTCAGCTCTTATTATTTGTTTAAGGCATGCATATGACAAGGCAGTCAATCCCATTTTTTCCCTATAGCTACAATTGTTGAAAATTATTTTCCAAATTCAGCCAAAATTTGCCGCCCCATAATAATACCCAATATATATTGAGTATATATCTATGAAGCTAGGTGCTATTAATTTACTTGTCTGAATACCATTTGTCTTAGATCATATGTGATCTTATGTCTGAATGAGCATATTAGTCTTTCAAACTAAGCATGTAATAAAAATCTCAATGCTGTTTTCACATGCAATATCTTAAAACTATGCCTCCTCAAATATATTTTTGTATTGTCTTCTATAGCCAAATGCAGGATTTAATGGTTATACTACTAAATTTCATCTTACTAGATTCAGCCTCAACTCCAGAAGTAGAGATAATTTTGGACCTTGCATATATATATAAATATCTTGACTTTTACTGCAACCTCCTAGTGCTCAGAGGCAGAAGTTGGGAGCGGGGCAAATGTGCCAAAGTCAGACTCCAGGTTCTTGTCCCCAGCTTCAACCAGAAAATACTTTCTGGTTAATAGAAAATTAATTTTATGATAGAGTTAACATAAAGTTTATTTTTGTCAAAAGTTTTTGTCATAGAAATTTTCAAAACCACTTTTTAGAGCAAGTCACTGGTAACTTCCCCAAGAATGTAGTCAATAGCACACCCTTATCCCTCCCCCAACTTGCCACCCCACCTAATTTAGATGATTTTAAGGTTAAAATTTTGTATGATTTACACAATATTGATGAAATTGTGTGCTGCTAATTTTAATAAATCATTGATCTATTTGGAAAAGATCGTAACAATTTGGTGTCTTAGTGAATATTCTGATGATGTATACTTTTGAATTCCTACCCTCCACCTTTCAACAAAAAATGGACTTCTGCAAAAGTATTTATCAATTCTAAAAATGCTTACAATTCAATAATCTTGTCTTGCACTTTCTGTGGAAAAAAGCTGCATTTTTTGCCAAGTTCAGAAAAGAGATTTTGCCATTTGTGTGGGTAATTCACAGTCTATTTGCTCTGTTCTGGTTCTTTTCCCCCTCCTTTCACCAATATACCAGATGTGTTAAAAAGAAGAGAAGTAGTATTGTAGTACCAAATAATCTTATACTAACAGTCTTGTGGAAGAAAAGTTAATTTGGGAACTATCTAACTCCCTTTCAGACTATTCATTAAACCCGGTATAAACCCAATCATATTATGCTTCATCTCATATTTACCATTTCAACAAAATCTCAAGGAAAAACCACTGTTAAATGTGTTGCCTACATGCAGATACATCACCATCTAAATTTATTTACCTTTTTAAAAAAGATTTTGACAGAGAGATAGAGAGAGAGCACAAGTAGGCAGAGCGGCAGGCAGAGGGAGAGGGAGATGCAGGCTCTCTGCGGAGCAGGGAGCCCCATGCGGGGCTAGATCCCAGGACCCTGGGATCATGACCTGAGCCGAAGGCAGACGCTTAACCAACTGAGTCACCCAGGTGTCCCATAAATTTATTTACCTTTTTGATAAGTTTAACACATCAAGGGAATACTATAGCCTATTTTTCCTATTCCTGATGACTCCAGGTTGGATTCTGATAATATTCCCACACGGTCACATGGCAACTTGATGGTACAACCGAGACCAGAATCCTGGGATTTGGATTCCCAGGATTTTCTACGGTACCATGGTGATGTTCAGATACTTACAGGAGGTGCTAATCATTAAAAAGGGGAGCACCAGTGTAAAAAAAATAATCAATATGCGACAATTTAAAGGTAATGTACTCTGGGAATGCAGGCTGGTGCAGCCACTCTGGAAAACAGTATGGAGGTTCCTCAGAAAGTTGAAAATAGAGCTACCATACGATTCAGCAATTGCACTACTGGGTATTTACCCCAAAGATACAAATGTAGGGACCCTGATGTTTATAGCAGCAATGTCCACAATAGCCAAACTGTGGAAAGAGCCAAGATGTCCATCGACAGATGAATAAAGAAGATGTGATATATATATACAATGGAATATTATGCAGCCATCAAAAGGAATGAAATCTTGCCATTTGCAACAACATGGATGGAACAGGAAGGTGTTATGCTGAGCAAAATAAGTCAATCAGAGAAAGACATGTGTCATATGACCTCACTGATATGAGGAATTCTTAATCTCAGGAAACAAACTGAGGGTTGCTGGAGTGGTGGAGGGTGGGAGGGATGGGGTGGCTGGGTGACAGAGATTGGGGAGGGTATGTGCTATGGTGAGCGCTGTGAATTGTGCAGGACTGTTGAATTGCAGATCTGTACCTCTGAAACAAATAATACAATATATGTTAAAAAAAAGATAGCAGGAGGGGAAGAATGAAGGGGGGGAAATCGGAGGGGGAGACCAACCATGAGAGATGATGGACTCTGAAAAACAAGCTGAGGGTTCTAGAGAGGAGGGGGGTGGGAAGATGGGTTGGCCTGGTGATGGGTATTAAAGAGGGCACGTTCTGCATGGAAAAAAAAAAATAAAAACTCAAAAGAATTTTTTATTATAAAAAAAATAAAGGTAATGTACTCTCACAGCCCTCTCCCACTTAGAAAATTCTTCCTTCTCCAGTTTCAAGTTATTTAGTTGGTCAATTTTTTTAACTTAAAAGTGAACTCAAGTCTGCTTCTTCTACTAAGCAAGATGTGAAATAAATGAAATTATTACAACCTTACATTATGATCTCCCAAGAGGTGCAAACTGTATAATTGTTTCCCCTCTCATTCCCAAAATAAAATCATCTTTGGCTGGGAAATGATTGGTTACACAAAACAATATATAGAAATTAAAACACTTTAATATAATATAAACATTTCCAGAATATAGACTGATTTTGTATCAGTACATTTTGAGAGCTTTTTAAAACTATATATCATCTAAATTTATTATAGACTGTTTCATTTTCACTTTCAGAACTAGAAAATATAAAAATACACTGCAAATTAGATTTAACAAACAAAAAAATCAGTCTAAATCGCTTCATACATTTTTCTTGGAGAAAACCAAGAAACAAACACACAACAACAATAATAAAATACCAACACTATCACAAACCCAAACAAGGAATGGATTCTCTAATGCCTGGTAATTCTCTCATTTAAAATAAATTATCTCCCATGGGTAAATAATTCATCACCACAGCAATTTGATGAATAGAAGTAGAGACAACCTCATTAAGCAAAATTACATTATATGTAAGAAACGTAATTTTTCTTTCCTTTTTTTTAAGAAAATGAAGAAAAGTAACTTAAGGAAAAGGCATATTGAATACTTTTACTTCACTTGGCTTTTGTTAGAGGTTAAAGTTAACTGTTCACTTAGGAAAATTCAAATAACAACAATTTCATGAAACCAAACTCTTCAACTTATTTCTTCAATTCAACCTTAAGGGAACAAAACTAAAAAGTTCAAAATCCAAGAGTAGACTCATCCCAAAGCATTATCTTTCTTCAACAGGTTTACTTTTCTTTTCTATTCTTGTGTTCTTATGTTCTTCTTTCTCAGAGGCTAGGTTTATGCTTGTTTCTTCTTTCAATTCATTTTCAATTTTTATACCCACCAAAAAAACTAAGCTTTCCTGAATTGACAATAACCATATTCACCTCTTCTCTTCTTCATTGGATGTTTTTGTTTTTTGTCTAAATCCATTTTCTAAACTGATTTCTTCAATTCATCCTTAGGCAAACAAAATGAAATGTTCAAATTCCTAGAACAGATTCCTCCCAAAACATTGACTCTCGTCTTTTCTTCAACAGGTTTCCTTTTCTCTTATGTTCTTGTCGTGTTTTTGTTTTTCTTACATTCTTTCTCAGAGGGTAGGTCTAAACTTGTTTGTTTCTTCTTTCAATTCAATTTCAATTTATACACACAAAAACTAAGCTTTCCTGAACTGACATTGACTGTATCCACTGCTCCTTTTCTTCACTAGATGTTCTGTTTGTCTAAATCCATGTTCTTAACTGATTTCTTCAATTCATCCTTGGGTAAACAAAACTAAAAGCTCAAAATCCAAGAATAGATTCATCCCAAAGCATTTCCTCTTCTGTCTTTTCTTCAACAGATTTCTTTTTCTCTTTCTTGTGCTTACGTTCTTCTTTCTCAGTGGGTACACCATGGCTTTTTTTCTTTTTTCGATGTTTAAGCTTTCCTGAACTGACACTGACTTTATCTCCCTCTCTTTTCCTTTGTCGGATGCTCTTGTCCTTATCTAGATCAGTATCCTCATAACTCTTTTTCCTTTTATGCTTGGACTGCTCTTCTTTCTCTGGCCTTTCTTCACTTTCCTCCAGGTGTCTTCTTCTTTTCTGATGTTTCCGTTTATGATCTGCTTGATGGTCACTGGTACTGTTTTCTGAGGAGAGGTGCTTGTAAACTTCAGATTCTACACTGTATGGGCCAGAGTTATTTTCTTGCTGACTAAGGCTCAGGGGTACTGGTTTTTCTGGGAAATAGTCTCTGATGGGTTGACAAGAGGTCATGGAATCTAGTCTCTGTTTGCTGTCATTAGTTGGTAAGCAATGAGGTAACTGGTTTTCTACTGCTTGTGAAATACTGTATGATCCTGTATAGGTCTGGGAAGTCTCAAATGGGAGTTTTTGCTCAAATATTTTATGTTTGGGTCTGGAATCAACCATTTCTTTGTACTTATGGGTTTCCGTAGAGCTATCACTAATCTTTCTAAAACAAGTCTTTGGCTCTAGTCCTCTGGCTTTCTGCACTTTGATGTAATCTTCAAGTTCATCTTGGAAAGAATCATAAGTCCTCTTTGAATGAGCTGGTAACCGGTGATGTAATTGGCTTTCCACTGGTGAAATATTATATGGTTGTTGGTAGGTCTGGGAAGTCTCAAGTGAAAATCTTTGCTCAAATATTCTTTGTCTGGGTCGAGAATCAACTTCTCTGTACCAACGGGTTTCCATAGAGTTCTCTCTTATCTTTCTGAAACAAATCTTTGGATCTAGTCCTCTGGCTTTCTGCACTTTGATGTAATCTTCCAGTTCATCTTGGAAAGAGTCATAGGTCCTCTTTGAATGAGCTGGTGAGCAATGAGGTAATTGGTTTTCTCCTGTTTGTGAAATATGGTATGATCCTGGGTATGTCCGGAAAGACTCACATGGGAGTCTTTGTTCAAACATTCTATGTCTGGACCTGGAATCAACTACTTCCCTGTACCCACGGGTTTCCAGAGAATCCTCTTCCATCTTTCTGAAACAAGTCTTGGACTCTGATCCTCTGGCTTTCTGCACTTTGATGTAATCTGCACATTCATCTTGATAAGAGTCTTGTGTCTTCTTTGAATTCTTCACTAGGTTGATAACAATGGATTCTCTGCAAAGAAGACAGTAGAAAGTTCTTGTTACTAGGTTATTTTATTCTGAATATTTTCTTTGCTTTCAAAAAGATTAGCTTAGGATGGGTTAGCCTGGTGATGGGTATTGAGGAGGGCACATTCTGCATGGAGCACTGGGTGTTATGCACAAACAGTGAATCATGGAACACTACATCTAAAACTAATGATGCAATGTATGGGGATAATATAAGAATAAAAAAATTTAAAGAAAAAAGATTAGCTTGGAAAAACAAAAACAACAAAAGCCCAAACAAATTTAAAAAACCTACTGCAATATAAAAGCTATAAATCATCACTTTTTATGCCAAAAAGCAGCAGCAGGGATAGTCAGATATTTCCCATGTACCTCACAATTTTTTACACACAAAAAATTTTCAGGGCTGAGATAAAAAGGGAAGATGCAGACATAGCTGCTACTGTCTTAGTACTTAAATTGTAAGGCATGTTGGGATATGCGGGAAAGGACCAATAATATTTAATGCCCCAAAGATGGTCTGATCTGAATGTCACATTGTTTTAAAAGTTTTAATTAGTCCTTGTATAGATCTATAAATATAATGGCTATTTATTCTGGAACTCTGAGATTAAAAAAAAAAGAGTCTGAAGATTAATTTGGTGAATCAATTTAGCTCCTAAGTATTCAGACTCAAAGTAGATATATTTTCTACCAGAATAAAATAATGTAACAGAAACACTATGCTTTGATTTTTAAAGCAACAAACCAAAAATACAATAGTTAAGTGCCCCTCTGTCCTGCTACCTGACTTATCCAGTCCTTAATTGTCCACTTAATCCTCTCCTCCTTAAAACAATAAAATAGAATGGAATATTTATCGAGCTCCTATTATATGCCAGGCCAGGCACCTTACAGAAATTTTTAATATTTCATTATAACAACTTCATATTGGAGCTGTCCAAAGTTATACACTTGTTAGAAAGACAGATCTGATATTCCAATCCAGGTCTGTCCAACAGCAAGACCTTTTTTCTTAACTACTGTACCTCGCTGGAAGGATGATGAGCAGATCACTTTATCTCCTGGAACTAAGAACCTTCCAGGACTTAATTGAGTTTGTATGGCTCAATGAGAATGATCCTTTAGCATCTCCCCAGAGAAGGATAATGCTGTCTGGTCAGGAGGGGTGCCAATTAGCCAGCTCTGCCAGTATACTATCATGGCTAGAAAAGTCCCTAGGGGATTCAAATACCATCACCTCTAGCAGTATCAAATACCATCACCTACAAATACCATCACCTATAGCAGTATCAACTCATAGGGAAATGAATGCCTAGAAAGTTTGTAAGGTACATGCAAGGGTATTTGACAGAAGCCCTGCTCTTTGGTGTCACAGGAGGATTTTGGTAAAAAAAAATACTTACTTAATTTGGTGTTCACTTCCTTGCATATGGGATCGGAACATTTCTAAAGATGTAAAGGTGATATTACAAATATGGCAAACGTAGGTTCTCATACTAAATGCTGAAAAAATAGAGAGTCCAAGTTAAGGAGGTCAATATGGACACACTTAGAATCACAAAGCTGGACAGGAATTTACTGAGATCATCTACTGAAATTTCCCAATTTAAAGATAAGGCCCAGAGAGGTCAAATGACTTGGTCAAAGTCAAAGAGCCAGTTAGTAATAGAGATAACCTCTCAGCGCCCATACTTCTTAATTTAGAGCCCAGAATTCTTTACACTACACCACACTGCTTCTCTAGGCTTGGCCTCTTTCCTAAGAAACTGCTATCTGCCTGCCTATTGTTTCTACATGAAAGTGTAGCAGGCACTTCAAATTTAGTACACCCAACCAACGATTGCCTCTTAATCCCTTAACCAACCTTTTTGCTTGCTCCTAATTCTCTTTCCACCCAGTAAAAACCTGAAAGTTCCCAAAAGATCAAACAAAAGCAAATTTTTACTCTCTTACCTGAAATCACTGTAGTGCATTAGTTTACCAAAAGTAATTTCCACAGACAGATTTTAGAAAGGAGAGAGGTTCAGTGAGCCCCACTCTCAGGATAAAAGCTGAAAGCAAAATTCTAAAAACTACTAGTTACCACTTCAAAAGAGTCAAGAACTATAGAATAGGCATACCAGCTACCTCTCTATTCTGCTTCTTAGGTAGAATTGAAAGCAGGGGATAAATTAATCTTTATTTTCTTAACCTCATTATTCTTCCACTTTCTCTTTGGTCAGAAGTAGCAAATTAATAAATTTCATAAGCCAAATATAAAAAACCCCACCCTAAAGAAGGGGCAATAAATTGGTGGCTGCAGTAATTTTAGGGTCAAGCGAGGTCATCTTTTGAATCAAACAGCACCTTAATCATTCAAAGGATGCTAAATTAATCATTATCGAGTGTATGGGTCTTGTCCAAGCAAAGATTATTCATAGAAACAAAAGAATATTGTCAAGGGGAAAGAAAGATGCTAACTTGGAAGAACATGAGGCCTCTGCTTACTATTGACAGATACTCTAGTGGGCCCAGGAGAGCTCAGCAGGTTATGCCAAAGACTGAATGAATGATTCCTCATAACTATCCTCTCTCCCAGTGCTCTGATTTCATGCTCACCAAGTCACTTTCTGATTATAATTTTGTTTCCCATATTCTTTGATCCCAAAAAAGGGATACCCTGGATGATAGATCCAAGTTTTAAAAACCCTGAGAACTAAAAATATATATATCTTCTCCTACCATAAATCAATATCAGAATGACAATGTATTAACTTAAATTACAATGTTTCCAGACTTCTCTGATAAGAATTACTTGGAGCATTACTTAAATATAGATCCCCAAGCTCCTCCCTTGGAGAACATGATCCGCTGTCTCTAGGAGAGGGAATTTGTATTTTAACAATACCACAGGTAATTATTCTTAGAGAACATGTGGGAAATACACTAAGGGAATACCTTTCTAGTTCCTTGATTATTTATAAGTGTTTGCCAAGTTTGTTTGTGGTCTGGTCAGTCCCTGATTTGAGGCTGATCTACCGTGAAGATTCTGGACTTCCTGCAAAGCTAAGGACTAAATCCAGGACTATGCATGCTCACAACAAACCTTTTCAAAAAATTAATATCCTTATCTAACAAGTGCGAAAATTAAGACTCAGATTTGCTTGGCCAACACCATACATTTTGAGAGCACCCAAGTTATGCAAGATAAGCAGGACACCTGGTTTCCTCTAGGTTAGTGGTTCTCAATGCTAGCTACACATTAGAACCATGTGGAAAACTTTAAAAATATTCATGTTACAGGTCCACGTCAGCCCATTTAAATCAGAATCTCTAGGAATTGAACCAGGCTTTCTTACTTTTTGAAAGCGTTTTTAGATGATTTTTTTTTTTTTATACAGCCATTGTTGAGCACCACTGCCCTAATATCAAGCCAATGATCTTCATTATGATTATAAACTCAGATTATATTTCAGGGGTTTTACATATTTGTTTAGTGCTTATAAAGTATATAGTATACATAATATTCTCCCCAGTTCCTCCTTTGTTTCTTTACAAATTATATTGGAAGATTGTAATATAGGTAATATAGGGGTTTAGAGAAGCTGCAGGTCACATATAAAAGGTCCAGAGGCAGTTCTGGAACTCTGGTCTGATTACTATTACCTTAGCCCTTGTCTTTTTCATACCCTGATATTCTTTATCTTTTTCTAGATATAGACATCTCAGAAAATAATATATAAAAATGGTGTAAACAATTTCTGTGAAGATATGAAGTCTATTTATTGGCTCCAAGTTCAGAATTCCTGGTCTAATCCTTCTGTAACCTGCCTCCACTATGTTTCTTTTTCTTTTCCTTTTTTAATTGAAATATAATTAATAGTGTTACATTAGTTCCAGGTGTACAATATAATGATTCAACAATTTTATACATTATTTAGTGCTCACCAAGATAAGTATACTCTAAATCTCTTTAATCCACTATGCTTCTTACACTTCATCCAGAAACTCAAGCTTCTTTGCATCTCATAGCTTTCAGAATCTTCTATAACCTAACACTTGTGGTGCCCATTTTTCTCCTAATCACAGCTCTATCTTATAACTCCCCAGACTAAGATCTTTGTTTTCAAAGCACAGATTGGGGAAGTACATGTCTTTATAGTCTAACGTTGTGGTCCTCAATCTTAGCTCTATATCCTAATCAATTGGGGAGTTAAAAAAGAGAAAACAAAACACTAATGTGTAGGTCCTATGGATTCTAATTTAATTGATTTGAGGAATGGCCTGAGCATTGAGATTTCTAAAAGCTCCCTGTATGTTTCTAACATGTAGTCAAGGTGAGAACCATCGGTCTAATAGCTTAAATGGAAAATAATCAATTGAGAGCTACATATAAGCAAAAATGCAACTTAATGTGGGATTTACTTTATGAAGTAAAGTAGAAAAAGTCTAATTTACCTGTTTTTAAGTTACGACAGGAGAAAAAAAACATTTTAAAAAAAGTAACATTTGTTAAGGACCTATTCTGTGATGGATACTGTACTGCTTCTTCATCCTTTGACAATACTGTGAAGTAGCCTTATTTTTACTTTACACCTGAGGAATCTGAGGTACAACCGGGTAAGTGACTTGAAACATATCTCCCAATCTATGTTTATTCTTCTACATGACACTGCCTCTCAATAAACAATTAGCAAATACTGAGAAAAACTATGTACTTATTACCATATAAAGTGCTGAGATGGATATTGCAGAATAAAATATAATCCCTTGTCTCAAGGAGGCTAATTCAGTTAAGGGGCTAAAATTAATGCAATTGTCAACGAAAAAGTGAAGTCTATGAGGAATCAGAGGAGGGGGAGAATACCAGCAGCTAGAGCAGTGAGGGAAGTTATGATGGATCTTGGAGGACAAGAAGGATTTGAATTGTAAGGAAGGCAGATAAGGGCATTCCAGGGGATGAAAACAGTATCAGATATGGGAGAGACAGAAATGAGCATGATGTGTTGACTTCAAATAATCTGTTCAACAAACGCTAAGCACCTTAGCGTTAGCTAATCTAGCATTATGCTAGATTCTAGGGTTACAAGATGAATAAAATGGGCAGGTTGCTCACAAATCCAAGTGAGAAACATATATAAACAAAGAATTTCAATCTCATTTGGTAAAAGGTAAGAGGTGTGCTTAAGGAGTATGGAAGCTCAAAGAAGCAGAGTATGGGGGTCTGAAGAAGGCTACTGGAAGAGATGATGCCTTCAACTTGGAAGGATGAACAATAGTTAACTTGACGAAAAGAGTTGAGAAGAGTACTGTACGGAGAGGGACTAGCATGATAGAAGCATAGAAGTGTTTATAAGAACTTCTTAAAATTTGGAATTGTTGTGGAATAAAATATAACAGGACAAGATGGAAGAAGCAAAAAGATGTCAGATCAGAGAGATGTATAGGTTATGCTACAGAGCCTAGACTTTTTATCCTGTGTATTGGGAAACCTTGAACTGTTTTAAGTAGTAAGTGACATGGTCAGCTGTGTGTTTGAGAGAAGTCTCTCCTCTAGCTGCAATATGGATAAATTTGAGAGGAACAAGCCTCAAAGTAAGGAGACCACATGTATGTAAATAACTAGATGAGGCAAGAGATAAGGAGGGCATGAGCTAGAACACAGTAGGGATAGAGAAGAGCAAGGAGACTGGTGAAATATACCATTAAAACTGGCAAAACTAAAAAAAAAATAAAAACTGGGAAAACTTGGTAACTGATTGAATGTGGGAGATAAGTTTACCTGAAGGGTGTGAGAAGGGAAGTGTATAAGAGTGGAAGAGAGTCCTGGAGAGTGGTGTGGGTTTTAAAATCACGGCTGAGAGGAAAGTGAAGGAAAAAGTAAAGGATTAAATAGGACTACAAGTCCACAGAGATTGGATCCCAAGACTCTGTTGAGGTACCCAATCTCTAGCTTTACATAATTTTCCATAGCGTCACCCAGTATCCTGAATGTAAAAGTAGAAAAGGTGGACTGTGGAATTTATTCAGGGTTGAAATCTTGCTACTAAGGAGTGAGAGAATAACAATGAGGTATATGTAAAGCCTTCCAGAAGGTTGTTACAACATTGAAGTGTGAAATGATGGTAGTGGAAATGTAATGGAAAGGAAAAATAGTTCTAATAAGACTTGATAAGACTTGCTGATGGACAGGATATAGGAAAATTGAGTAGTTGAAGATGCCCTCAAAGATTCAAATGTAGGTGACTAATAAATGGTACAATTGGCAAAGACAGGAATCTTGGGAAATTCAAGTTGGTTTTAGAGAAGATTATTAATTCAATTTTAGGTATGTTGAGTCACAGGTGAAGGTGAGATATCTAAGTGCAATAATGAGGCTAGAAATTAGTAAGATAAACAAAACAAATACAATAAATAAAAAAATACATACATACTTTAGTTCCATATCGTTATGGTAGCCATTCCTGTGCTAATAAGATCTGGCCCGGATGAGGGACATGAAGAAAGCAGTGAGAATGATGAAGAAAGAGAGATTAGGTATAGTAGGAACATATATAAACAAAACAGATGGAAAAAAGGCAGAGACAGAAAGAAGGGAGAAAATGGGGTGATGAATGAAATAGTTAAGGTGTCATGTATCAAATGGTTTCTGTCTTACCACTTGCTCGCTTATAATATGGGCTTCTGCTGTTCTGTTCTTTGAAATTCTCATTAGCTAATTTAAATTCTCCAGCTATTTTTTAATCCTCAAATGTTTACTGTTCTTAAAATGGGACAGTTAAAAGCAGGGCTGAAAATTTGTTCTTTGAGCTCTATTATGCTAATGGTCAGCACTCCCTCCCTGGCCAGATGAAAATTTCACCAAAATTCTCCTTCTCTTATTCTAATAACCTTGAAACTTCAGAATGCTAACATGACTCTCCCTTTAGAAGTGACCAGAGTATGTACACTTCTCATAGTTGACTCAGTTCCAATTTTACCTAATGCTGTCCATTAAACTAGAAGGTACTTATTTCAGATATCCTCACCCCAGCAATAGGAAAAATATCCTAACAAGTTAAAGTTTGTCATTTCTCCAAACATCTACTACTTTCAGAAGCCCTACCACTTTTATTTCTACACTTGCCTAAATCAACATTCTTCAAATTCCTAGATAAAAACACAGATCTCTATGTAACTTTTTGAGATATGTTGAATCACATTAATTAGGAAACTTAAATAGTACCAATGCAGGGTTAGCACTCAATATATCAAGATTAGTAGTTCACTGATTCTATATTAAACTAATCGCTATTGAGGTAGGCCTACTCTGTGCCAGTTTCTATCTCTAGCACCGGAAATACAGATGAGTTAAGTGAAATCCCTTCCCTCAAAGATCTTACACATTCTAGTGGGAGATAAAGACACACAGAGAGAAAATTAGACATGCAGGCTAAGGAAACACAGAAGATAAGTCTTGAAGGGAGTGAAAAGGCTTCCCGGGAAGTAGTATGTTAAAGAATGAGTTAGGAATTAGATAAAGAAGAGGAACATGGAGATGTTCCAAAATGGCAGCATGAAAAAGGGCAGAGAGACAAGAAATAGGGTAATGGTTTCTGGAAACCATAAGCAGTTTGCAGGTTCTGACCTATACAGATCACGGCAGGAAGTAAGAGGGGATAAGCCTGGAGAACATAGGCAGGGAATGATGGTAAAGAGCTATGAAGCTTAGATTTTTATCCTCAGAAAAAGGAGAAACAAGTGAGGATTTTAAAGTAGGGAATGACCTGGAAGGATGTGCACTTTAGGTGAAACACTCTAGTGGTTAAATTGAGGGTAGATTTGGAGAGACAAAACTGATGGCAGGGATAGTAGTTAGGAGGCTGTGGCAATATTCTAGAACAATGCTTCTCAAAATTTAATGTGAGTACAAATCCCCTAGGGATCTTGTCAAAATGCAGTTTCCGTTCCAGCAGGTCTGCAGTGAGGCTTGAGATTCTTTTTTCTAACAAGCTCCAAGTGATGCTGATGATGCTGGCCACAAACCACACTTTGAGTACCAAAGCTCTAGGAAAGATGTTGAGGGCCTGACCTAGTATGGGAAGAGTAGGGCTGCAGATAAGGGACCAGGTAAAACAGTCATGGCTTGGTGTTTCATTAGATATAAAAAGTGAAGAAGGTAGTGTTGGGGGATTCACAGTTAACTATAGGTTTCTACTATGAATAACTGAGTGGAATTGAAATGGATATGAGGTATCCAGGTAAAGCAGTAGCTGCCAGTTGGATATGAGTCCAAAGCTTGACAGAAAGGTTATAAGCATACAGGTAAGAGATGAAATCAGGGGAACAGCTTAGATCATGTTTGTAGAGTAAGGCCAAGAATGGAGCCA